CATCAATAAAAAACTGGAAAATCTGAACATCACTATTTATCAAATGGATCTAACAGACATATACAGAACACTCACTCCACCTTATAGCAGCAAAATACACATTCTTCTTAAGCACACATGAACTGTTTTCCAGGATAAATCATGACAAACCACAAATCAAGTCTTGGAAATATAAGAAAACTGAAATCATAGCATTATCTTTTCTAATCACAATGGGCTGGAACTCTAGCAGTTGGAAAACTGGAAAATCCACAAATGTATGAAAATCAACATACTCCTGAACAACCAATGTGTCAGAGAAGTCCCATGAAAAAATTAGAAAACATCTTGAGACAAATATGAAAATACTATATACCTCAACTTATGAAATCCAGTAAAGGAAGTACTAAGAAGTTTACAGCAGGAAGCACTTACATTAAAAAAAAGATTTCAGGGCACCTGGGCAGCTTAGTCATTTATGCATCTGCCTTGGGCTCAGTTCATGAGTCTGGGATTGAAGCCCACATGAGGCTCCCTGCTCAGCCCAGAGTCTGCTTCTCTCTCTCCTCTCACCCCTGCTTGAGTTCTCTCTTATAATAAAAAAAATCTCAAATCAATAACCTTATTTTTATACTTCAAGGAATAAGAATAAACTAAACCCAGAGTTAGCAGAAAGGAAATATTAAATATTAGAGCAGAAATAAACAGAAAATTAAAAATATCAAGACTAAGCACTGATTTTTATTAATGATCAATAAAACTGGAAAGTCCTTAGCTACATTAACTAAGGAAAAAAAGACACCAATAACTAAAACCAGAAATTAAAGTCATTTCGACTGATACCACAGAAACAAAAGAATTATAAAAGAATACTATGAGGGGCGCCTGGGTGGCTCAGTGGGTTAAGCCTCTGCCTTCGGCTCAGGTCATGATCCCAGGGGTCTCGGATCGAGTCCCGCATCGGGCTCTCTGCTCAGCGGGGAGCCTGCTTCTCCTCATCTCTGTCTGTCTCTCTGCCTACTTGTGATCTCTCTGTCAAATAAATAAATAAAATCTTTAAAAAAAAAAAAAAGAATACTATGAACAACTGCATGCCAACAAACTGAATAACCTAGAAATTCCTAGAAACATGCCATCTACCAAGACTGAATCATGAAGAAATACAAAATCTGAATTAGTAAGGAGATTAAATCAATCATCAAAAGCCTCTGAAACGAGAAAAGACCAGGATGAGATAGCTTCACTGGAGAAATCTACCAAGCATCTAAAAATTAATGCCAAACCTTTCCAAACGCTTCCAAAAAACTGAGGAGGACAGAACATTTCCAAACTCATTTTATGAGGTGAGCATTGCTCTCATACCAAAGACAGACAATATACTTAAAAAAAAAAAAAAAAGTTAACCAATATTCCTTATGAACATTGCTGCAAAAATTCTCAACAAATATTAGCAAACTGAATTCAATACACCATGACCAAGTGGGATTCACCCCAGGAATGAAAAGAGGATTCAACATATAAAAAAGTTAATGTAATACAAATGTTACCAAAATGAAGAAAATCACATGACTATCTCAAGTGATGCAGACAAGGCTTGACAAAATTCAACACTTTTTCTTTTTTTTAAAGATTTATTTATTTTGGAGAGAGGGAAAGCAAGAGAGCACATATGCACACGATTGGGGAGAGGAGGGGCAAAAGGAGAGAATCTTTAAGCAGACTCCCGGCTGTGCACAAAGCCCAATGACAGTGCTCCATCTCACAACCCATGAGATCATAACCTCAGCCAAAACAAGAGTTGGACACTTAACCCAATGAACCACTCAGGTGTCCCTCAACGTTTTTTTAAGTAAGGTCTAGGCCCAACATGTGCCTTGAACTCATGACCTTGAGATAAAAAATCACATGTTCTATGAACTGAGACAGCCTTTCTACCAATATCCCAACAGCATTTTTTGCAGAAACAGGGAAAAAAATCCTAAAATTCACGTGGAATCTTAATGAACACTAAATACCCAAAAATAATCTTGGCAAAGAACAAATACATCCTTTCTTCAAAATATATTATAAAGCTACATTTCAATATGATATTGCCATAATGACAGACGTATAGGTCAATGGAACAAAAAGGAGAACGCAGAAATAAACCCTAAGTGTATTATCAAATTATCTTTGACCAATATGCTAAGACTACACAATGGGGAAAGGATGGTCTCATCAATAAATGGTGCTCAGAAAAGTGGATATCCACATGCAAAAGATGGATCCTTATCTTACACCATATACAAAAACTAACTCAAAATGGATCAAAGACCTAAATCTAAGATCTGAAACTATAGCACTCCAAAAAAAAGCAAGGGAAAAAAATTGATTCATGACTGGAATGAAAGTAATGATTTATTTGATAACAAGTAAAAGCATCACAAAAGCAAAAATAGACAAACCGGACTGCATCAAACTTAAAACCTTCTGCACAGCAAAGTAAACAATTAACATAGTGAAAAAAAATCAACCTACAAAATGAAAGAAAATATCTGCAAACCATTTACCAAATAAGGGGGAAAAAGAAAGAAAAAAGGAGGGAACGTAGGAAGGGAGGGAAGGAAGGAAGGAGGGAGAAAGCCTTGAACTCAGTAACAAAACATGCTGATTCAAAAATGGTCAAAGCACCTGGAGAGACTTTTTTTTTTTTAATTAAGATTTTTTTTTTTTTTTTAATTTGACAGAGATCACAAGGAGGCAGAGAGGCAAGCAGAGAGAGGGGGAAGCAGGCTCCCCACTGAGCAGAGAGCCCGATGTGGGGCTTGATGTCAGAACCCCAGGATCATGACCGGAGCCAAAGGCAGAGGATTAACCCACTGAGCCACCCAGGCGCCCCGATTTCTTCAAAGAAGATACACAAATGGCCAACGAGCATATGAAAAGATCCTCAACATCACTAATCACTGGGGAAAGGAAAATCAAAACCACAATGAGCTATCATCTTACACCTGTTAGTATGGCCACTATTTAAAAAAATAAAATAAAATAACAGGTGCTGGTGAGGATATGAAGAAATTGAAACACTAAGTGCACTGTTGGTAGGATTATAAAATGTGCAGCCACTATGGAAAACAGTATGGAGTTTCCTCAAAATACTAAAAACGGAATTATATGATCACTTCCAATTCTGGCATACATCTAAAAGAATTGAAAATGTGATCCCAAAGAGAGATTTTCACATCCATATTCAGTACAGTTTTATTCACAATAGCCAAGATAGAAGCAACTTAAATGTCCAATCATAAATGTCTGCTGACAGATGAATAGAAAAAATATATATATGGTTTACACATACAATGGACTATTATTCAGCTTCAAGAAAAATAGAAATCGTGTCATATGCTAAAACATGAATGAACCCTGAAGACATTATGCTAAACAAAATAATTCAATCTCAAAAAGACAAATAGTACATGATTCCACTTACATGAGATATATAAAGTAATCCAACTTATAAAAACAGAAAGAGAATGGTGGTTGCCAGGCGGTGGGGGGAAAGTAAAAAACTGTTGTTCAATTCAGTATGGTTTCAGACATGGAAGATGAAAAAGTTCTAAAGATCTACTCTTCAATAATGTGCATACAGTAATACTGTACGGTTTAAATTTGTTCAGAAGGTAAATTTATGTATTTTTTACCACAATAAAAATAAAGCATTGCTACATGCTAACTCAAAGAACCAAACACCAAAGTACTACGTATTGTATGATTCTATTAACATGAAATGTATAGAACAGGAAAACCTATAGATTGGGGAGAAATGAAGGGAGGTTAATAAAGGGTACTATGCTTCTTTCCTGGGTGATGCAAATATTCCAAAATTGATTATGTTGATGACTGCAGAAGTCTGTGAATATAATAAAAATCACTGAGGTATAAACTTTAAAAAACGATAGATATTTCATGGTATTGATTTGTAGCTCAATAAAGCTGTTAAAAAATATCTACTACAGTAAGCAACTTCGAGAGTCTTATGTTTAAGGATAGTTTTACCCTCAACAACCATACTGTAGCGGCACCTAGGTGACTCAGGTGGTTGGGCATCTGCTTTGGCTCAGGTCACGATCCCAGGTCAAGGTCCAGGGATTGAGCCCCATGTCAGGCTCCCAGCTTAGCAAGGAGTCTGCTTCTCCCTCTCCAACAGGCGTCTCCCCCTGCCTGTGCTCTTTCTGTCTCTCTCTAATGAATAAATAAAATCTTAAAAAAAAAATCTATAATGTACAATATTAATATCTTGAAAGACTTCGGCTGTTTTTCTTTTGCTGCTAAGGTAAGATACCCTAGTATTTCAGTTTTTTGTTGTTCTCAAGCCTTGTTACAGAAGGGAAGTTAAGACATCTAAAGCCTTCAAATAAGTACTACAGAATATCTTCTTTTTCCCCCAAAACAAATGTCCCTTTGTCTACATAATCAGTGGACCTTCCTTAAATTGTGTAAAGGAAGCCTAACATTCAATAAAATCTATTCACTTTCTGTAAACTAATAACTATACATAAATTTTAGGCTCAGGGCCTCTCAATTACCTACAATGCCAGACTGAGTTCCAAAAAGTTCACAGATTTAAAAAGGTCAGGGTGGGAGCACCTGGATGGGTCAGTAGGTAGGTTAAGCATCTGGTCATGTTACTGTTAAGCAACTCTATGTCATGATCCCAGGGTTCTGGGATTGAGCTCCCCATCGGGCTCTCTACTCAGTGGGGAGTCTGCATCTCCCTCTCCCTCTGCCCCCTACCCTTGTGCTCTCTCTCATTCTATCTCAAATAAAATTTTATAAAAGAGGGAGAGCTTCTGGTGAAACATAACTTCTGAAAGTATATGGAAACCTGGCCCTCAAGATTCAGATCCTACATAGAAAGCTCTTCCTTCAAGGGATAGCACTTTCCTCCCAATCTACACTTGCCCTTCCATCAAAACAGACCAACTTCAGATGGGTAACATCACCACTTCTCTAATCCTTATCATTGTCTCAGGAGTCCTTACCTGGTTCAGGGAGCTCAGGCTGGGGTGTCAAACTGGGAATTCCCGGCTCTTTTTCCATCTCTTCGATGCTGACACTGGATTTATCACAAACAGTCAACCGTGGTCCAACTGCATCTAAGCAGCTGGCATGATTTGGATCTGCCAGCGTATCCTCCAGTATGTTTGCTGACGTAGGAGGTCTATGCTCTGGGAACTCATCCCCCTTCTTTGCAGGGTCAGCAGGAAGCAAAACCCCAAAGGCACCCTCAGAGTTTTCCTTCTCCCTAAATCTGTTAGTGCGCTTACGAGGTTTAGTGCGCCTTTGGTTTAAACGCTGCCACCGCTTTTTAGGCACCACTTGATTTACACCATTGGGTTCATCATTCTCACTGTTCATTTCAGTATCCACCTCTGGGCCTTTTCTGTTTTCAAAAGAGGAGACTTTATCAGGAATTTTATCAGGGTCAGACTGCTTGACTTTGTTATCAAAATGAACACTAGAAAAATGGGCGCTGTCTTCACTTGTTAAATGGCCCATTAACTGAAGGGGTTCCTCTTTACCAGGGTCCTCTAGCCCACCTCTTGAGGAACCATTCTCTGCAACCCCACTTGCTCTGTCTCCCTGCAGTGCAGCATCAAGAGTTACAGCTGGAAGTCGGTTGAGTTTTCTTTTGCGCTCAGTCTTTAAGGCTTTACGGTTCAATGTGTTCTTTCCCATCTGGGCTGAAAAACTATCTCGCAGTTTAGATGATGGTTTTGATCGCCCACAGTTGCGCCTAGTAACACAGTTTGAGCGACTTTTACCAGAAGCAGGGACGTCTCTTCTGTCAGACACTAAGCCAGGTACAGATACAGACAACTCTCCAGACACTGCAGGGTCACCCCCACTAGGGCTAGGACGGACTGGGTTCTGAGTGCCATCTCCATTTTTTTCTGAACTGTGAGTGGAGCTTCCTGAAACCAAGACCTTAGATGCACCTACAGGACTACTCGTAGAACAGTCTCCAAGACCAGGACTCCGATAAGAGACCAAGTTCTGAGCAGTCATTAACCGCTGCTCCTTAGTCTTACTATCATGCATATCTTTTAACATCATTAACAATGTACTGAATTTGTAATCTGGTTCAATAGGTATATGATTCTGACCCGAGGCAGGAGAAAAAAGTAATGGTTTTGAAGGCTTTGATGTTCCAGAGTCACTCACATCTTCACTTAAGGATCTATAAGAGAGTTCCTTCAACTCTGACAGAACATGTTTCACCACTGCTGTTTCTATGTCATTTGAATCCCTGGTTTTCTCATGCATGTTGCTCAGTAGTTTTAGCCCATCCACTTTCCCACTTTTGGAAATGCTGGCCAAAGGAGAGCCTTTGGTATCAGAAGAGCAGCATTTCAAACTGCAGTCCTCATTTGTAACTGGAGGTTCCACTACAACTGGATTTTCTTTATGTTTGCACTTTATACTTCGGATCTTGGGCTGTTTGCTTTTTGAATGTAAAAGAGCTTGATTTGTAGCCCCACCTTTTATTAGTGAGTTCTCACTGGAAATGCTTGATGGTGTGTTGAATTTTGGAGAGAAACCATCGTTTCTAAAATCTGATTGGGGTTTGCGGATAACAGTAGATACTTTAAGATCAGAGAGATTAACCTGAGATGTCTCAGTTCCAGGCTCTGCTGTTTTAGTACAATCCATTAAGTGGTCTGTATGTGAGTTAGTAATGAGGGACTTTTGCTTTGCTTTTACCTTAGTGTTTGTGGCAGGATACCTAGTATACTTTACCTTTTCATGTTTCTGCACAGATAACATATTCTCTGTTCTATCAAAAGCATCTGTAATTTCAAGGACACTGTTATCAGACTCTGAACTGTGATCTATGGGGTCCAGATCACTGCTTCCATCATCAGAAGTGGTACAGATACTAATAGAATCACTTCGCTTTTCTTCATCACCTGCTCCAATATAACAGAGCTGCACTTTTGAACTACACACCAAACCTCGTTGGAGTTTCTTCTTCTCCCCAGAACGTTTAGAGATCAAGGCACCCTCAGACAAGCCCAGTAAAGAGTCACAAGTTGAAGTCTCAAATTCTTTCTTCGCCGTGTTTTTCGCACAAGAAGAAAACAGGAAACCTCCTGGGGCAGTGCTGGACCCTGTGAGGCTGTTTGCTATCCTGGAAAGTTCATTAGAGGCCTGCTTATCAGATACATCCCCAGAAATAAAGTTTAGGCCGAGGTTCTCTGGAATCTTTCCCCTTCGTTCTTCCTTATGTGCTTCAAATTGCATGTGGCCCTTTTTCATACTAGTCCTTTTTGGATTATCAGAACTCTTCCTGGCTCGAGACTTAGCACAAGGCTTTTCCCTCTCATCTGCAGAATGTTCAGAGTCAAAAGCCAGAGATTTCAAGCAGCCATTAAGTAACAGGTCATGTTCTGATTCAGGATCATTTGCACAGTCCTCAAATGGCATATCCTCCTCACTGTCCAACTTGATTGAACTGGTGACACATCTTCGGTTCTTCGACCCTTTGGGAACATCGTACTGTTCAGCAAGACCAACACTGGCTTCCCATTTACTCAAAATTTTCTGAGGAACCTTAAATTTAAAGGAGAAAAAGATTATCACTTATCAAAAAAAAAAAAAAAGCAAAAGGGAATAGAGAGATTATGAGCAAAGACCTCTCAAGAAACTCTTCCAAGCCTTGTAACTTCTTCAACGATACTTTTATGGTATTAGCTAGGTGTTTAGTACCCACTGTTCACCCAAAGCCAAACAATGGGGGATTCCTCAAATCTACTTCTACCACCAAGATCTATCATTAGAGGAAAGATTAATCCTCTGCTCTCCCTCCTTTATAAGGACAAAAGAGTAGACCATAACTAGGACTGCATTACTAATAAACATTACATTACTAAATCAAGGAATAATAAGACCCTTCCCATTTAGCCCTCCACACTTTACAACAGGACTTATTTACTTCCTGACTTATGAAGGCCAAGCACTTGCTCAGCTGTGTAAGAGAAAAGCAAAACGCTAAAGAAGATAAACATGGAAAAATGAGGACAGGAAAAATGAGGACTTCTACCCTGGGAGACCCTACCTCTTTTCTGACCTCTACCTTAAGAGACCCTAAACTGGAACCTCTCGTTATCCCTAGACCCCTTTATTTCTGGTGCTGTATCTGATTATTCAAAACACATTACATAAAATCTGGATTATACCAAGCAGTCTCCTGGGCTGAGTCATGTCCAGAGACACCAAAACACCTTGGGTATTACATACGTGCCTTTGTTGATTCTTCACAGATGGAGACACTGATGCTCTGTGAAATGTTTTTTCAAACTCTTCTTTTCCTCCCTGGCTTCATACAACAGTTATTAGTCAAGGTTCTAACTATTAGCTAACTATATTTTAATACTTATAAAAGGGATATTCCACTGAGCATGAAAAAAATTCAGGTCACTGGAAAGATAGCCTCCTCTTATAAAGCAATGAGCTGACCATCTAATCTATTTTATACACACTCATTAATTCTCATAACTGTGACAAGAGTAAAACAACTTTCCAGAATCTGAAAGCCCTACTGAACTCCTTTGAAAAGGGGCTAGGTTAAGCTACATAACTAAAGGCTTGACACAAAAGCTTGTAATACCTCCCTACCACCAACCACCCAAAGTATTAGAACTGATGCAGTTAGCCTCCTTCATTGTAACAATAGCATATACTAGTTATTTCGGGACATCCAATTTATCACATATTAAATATTTATAATTATTTCTATTTCTCCCAACAGTTCTGGAGGGTACATATTATTATACTAGTTTTAGAGAAGTCAACTAAGAAACATTAGCGACTACATAATGACTCTAACTTATCCTAATAACGATTATTAAGCATTTATACACAGAGAAGCACGAAACACTAATCGAACAGGAAATATTTCACCTTCTAGAATTGACTACAAAGGAATATTAAAAGAAATAAAACAAAATTTGACTCACCCAACTTTAACACAAATATCAAACAAATGGAAGAAAAACACAATATTCTTTATTAAAACGTAACTGGGCTTGAAACCGCAATATTAAGCATGAATCACCCCATACAAAAACCAGAAAACCACCATTTGCAACAACTTGGATAAAGCCAGAGAGTAACAGTGCTAAGTTAAATCAGTCAGTCGATCAAAGACAAATCCCGTTATGATTTTACTCATACATGTAATTTAAGAAACAAAAGAGCAGGGGCGCCTGGGTGGCTCAGTCAGTTAAGCTGCTGCCTTCGGCTCATGATCCCAGGGTCCTGGGATCAAGCCCTGCATCGGGCTCCCTGCTCAGCAGAAAATCTGCTTCTCCTTCTCCCTCTGCCTACTGCTCTGCCTACTTGTACTCTCTACCTCTGTCAAATAAATTAAAAAAAAAAAAAAAAGGAGCAAAGGGAATAAAAGAGAAAGAAATACAAAGAAACAGACTCTTGAAACTATAGAGAACAAACTGATGGTTACCAGAAGGAAGACGGGTGAAATAGGATAAAGATTAAGGAGCGTACTTGTCTATGAATAAAAACAAACAAAAGCCAAGACAACAAACAAAAATGTTTACAGTTTTATCTTTCTCATTTTTTAGAGAAATAATTAATCCATAGAGTGAGAAATAGCATATTTCATTTCAATGATCATTTTCTTTTTATAAAAAGTAAGACGAAAGAAGACTGGTCATGTCATTTTATACTGTCACATCTAAGTGACAAGGCAAAAGTTATCTGAAATCATTTCTCAAAAAATTGAGAATTGTAAATATATGGAAGGCTGGTCCTATTTCATCCCAGGAAAAATACTGCTTCCATCTATTTTCTCACAAATACCCTACTATCAAAGGAAATAACTTACATTTAAAAACTGTAAGACTTCTTCCTTGCCTCTTCCCTGTCCACCCCAAAGAAGATAATTAGAGAGGCTTTATTTATTTTTTTTTTACCTTGTGCCTATATCCTTTTTCTTTTTGCTTCCCTCTTCTCCTAAGAACAGGTAGCTCTTCAAACTGATGTCTGCCTTCGAACATGACGATTGCTTTTCCAGCCACCCAGGCTCTCTCTGAAGGGTCCCCAAAAGCCTCCACGTAGTATTGTCGATAGGGCCTCCGGTTTGAAACTAGACAAAAATAAGAACCAGTGTCATTACTTTAAAAAGATGACTGTTCATCTTCAAGAGAACAGCCATATCACTACTGCCAAAGAAATCTCTACTTAGAAAAAGCAAGAAGAACAAGAGATCACAGAGTGGAAATTTTATATATTCAATTTATGTGGCAAGAAAATGCATAAGAGGGGTGCCTGGGTGGCTCAGTCATTAAGCATCTGCCTTAGGCTCAGGTCATGATCCCAGGGTCCCAGGATCAAGCCCTGCATCAGGCTCCCTACTCAGTGGGAAGCTTGCTTCTTCCTCTCCCAATCCCCCTGCTTGTGTTCCCTCTCTTACTGTCTTTCTCTCTCTCTGTCAAATAAATAAATAAATAAAATCTTTAAAAAAGGAAAGAAAGAAAACATGTAAGAGTTTAATAAAAAGGGGCACCTGGGTGGCTCAGTCAGTTATGTGGCTGCCTTCGGCCCAGGTCATGATCCCAGGGTCCTGGGATCGAGTCCTACTTAATAAATAAAATTACAACCTGGCTGAATTTTGATTTTTAGACCATTTCAAAAACAAGATCTATGAAAAAACTGACCTCCTTAGTCTCAACCTATTAAATCCTTCCATAGAAACCACCTATAAAGGGGGATTAAAATTGGTTAAGATATATATGTATCTATATAGAATTTCAGAAGGTTAATTTGAGAAGTACATAGTTCTCCCATAAATAAGCAAATTCAATCAACACAGTGTGAACACTTATGATGTATCAGCACTATAAATAGACAAAAAATAAACCTACTGCCTGGTGGTAAGAGATATACAAATAGATTACAGTAAAAGAATTGCAATAATATAAACATTCACTTTTTTTTTTTTTTTAAGATTTATTTATGAGAGAGAGAGCTTGCATGCAGAGCGGAATGAAGGGAGGGGCAGAGGAAAAGGGAGAGAGAATTTTTTAAACAGACTCCATGTCTGAGCATGGAGCCCAACATGGAGCTCGAATACACGACCTGAGCCAAAACCAAGAGTAGGCTGCTTAAGCAAACATTCACTTTTTTAAAATAACATTAAAAAATGAAGATCAATGGGGCATCTGGACAGCTCAGTCATTTAAGTGGCCAACTCTTGATTGCAGCTCAGGTCATGATCTCAAATCCTGGGATGGAGCCCCTCCGTGCGCAGTGGGGAGTCTGCTTAAAGATTCCCTCCCCCCACCCCTCCCTTCACCCATGTGCATGGTCTCCAGCTCTCTCCAATAAATAAATGAATAAATCTTAAAACAAAACAAAACAGTGGAGATCACTAACTGGAGGACAAATGGAACACCCAAGCAGAATTTTTAAAGGTAAATAGTTTGTTAAGGAGAGAATTCCAGTATAAAGGCCCAGAACCTTCAAAGGCATGAATGAATAAACAAATAGCTGGGAATTAAAAGTAGTTCAGAACACTGAATCATAAAAACGTAGCAGGTAATAAGCAGTGGCTAGATCTGAAAGAGCTTGATGCCAGGTTAAGAGCCTGACCACTGTATGAGCTCTTGTCATTAAGGAGTCTCATTTAAACCGTGGAACCACAGGCTCAGTTTGGGGTTTTAGAAAGATAAATCTTCTTGACCTTGGAATAACACATTCAAGAGGAAACAGAGAGAAGACTCAGTAGACAAGAGATTACAAAATAGTGTACATGCAAAATGACTAGAACTTAGAGCAGTAACACTGGGAATCAAAAAAACAAAATTTGAAATATATTTTTTAGAGATAAAACAAAAGGACTTAACAAGTTATAAAAAGTCAGAAGGGCTCCTGCCTGATTCAGGTCGAAGAGCATGCACTCTTGATCTTGGCTGAGGTCGTGAGTTCAAGGCTCATAGTGGGTATATAGATTACTTAAATAAAAATAAAACTTAAAAAGAGGAAAAAAAAGATCAGAATAGATATTTGAACACCAGTGTTCATACCATTATTATTCAAAACAGCCAAAACATGGAAATAACCCAAATGTCCACTGAAGGATGAACAAAATGTGGTATATACATTCAACAGAGTATTACTGAGACTGAAAATGTATGAAATACTGAAACATGGATGAACTTTAAAGACATTATGCTAAGTGAAATAAGCCAGACACAAATAAACAAATAATTCTACTTATATGATGTACCTAGAATAGTCAAATTCATAGGGAAATAAGTGGAACAGTACTGACCAGGGGCTAATTCTTATCAAATGGGTATGGATTTATACACTGAAAAGTGTAAAAATATGAAAAGGTTCTGGATATGTACAGTGGTAATAATTGCACAGCAATGTGAATGTACTTAATACCACTAAACTGTACACTTAAAAATGGTTAAAATGGGTACACCTGGGTGGCACAGCCAGTTGAGGGTCTGATTCTTGGTTTTGGCTCAAGTCATGATCTCAGGATTCTGAGACTGAGCCCCATGTCAGGCTCCAAACTCAGTGCAGAGTTTGCTTGAGGCTCTCTACTTCTACCTCTGTCCCCCAACCCAATAATATTTTTTTAATGGTTAAAATGGTAAATTTGTGGGGTGCCTGGGTGGCTCAGTTGGTCAAGCATCCAGCTCTTGGTATTGGCTCAGGTCATGATCTCGGAATTGTGGAATCTAGCCCCAGGTTGGGCTCTATGCTCAGCATTGAGTCTGCTTGTCCCTCTCCCTCTGCTCCTCCCCTCACCACCACCCACTCTCTCAAACAAACAAATAAATAAATAAATAAAAATATTTTTTTAAAGTAAATAAAAAAATAAAATGGTAAATTTGTTACATATATTTTAGCACAATAGAAAAGAGGTCAAATTAACAAGTATTGGTGAGGACACAGAGAAATCAGAACCCTCACTTATGCTGATGGAAATCTGAGCTGGTGTAGCAGCTTTTCAAAGCAGTCTGGCAGTACCTCAAAAAGCTAGAGAGAGTTAACATGTGAGCCAGCAATTCTACCCCTGGGTATATATGCAAAAGATTTGAAAACATTAGGTCCACACTAAAACTTATAAACAAATATCACAGCAGCACTATTCTGAACAGCCATAAGGTAGAAATAGTCCAAATGTCCACCGACTGATGAATTCATAAATAAAATGTGATCTATCCATACAATGGAATACATTTACCATGAAACAGAATGAAATACTCATACATATATAGACTTCGAAAGCATTATGCTAAGTGAAAGAAGTAGTCACAAAGGACCATATAGTATATGATTCCATTTATATGAAATGTCCAGAATGTGCAAATCTATAGTGATAGAAAATGTATTACTTGTTACTTACGGCAAAGAGGTGTAAAGGGAAAGAAGACTGGGGAGCAGGCAGATAAATGGTTTAAGGTTTTTTGGGGGCATGATGAAAATGTCCTAAAACTGACTACTGGTGGTAATTACTCAACTCTGAATATACCAAAAACCACTCACTGAATTGTATACTTTAAAGGGGTGAATTTTAAGTTCTGTAAATTATATCTCAAAAAAGTTCTATAGAAAATAAAGGATCTAATGGTATAAGGGCACAAAGAAGGAAGAAAGGGTGACTCCTAAGAATTTGGGGTATATGACTAGGTGGCAGGGATCTATTCACCAAGGCGGGAAATAAAGAAGAAAGTACTGGTCTGAGGAGGAAAATAATTAGGTCAGTTTTAAATAAGCTAATAAGCTCAAGTGCCTAAAGGACATCCAAGTGAAAGCTTCAAGTACACAGCTGGGCTTGCAGATGTGAACCCTGAGGAAAACACTAGTATTGTGTATATAAATTAAGTTTACCGATAACAGTTAAAACTCAGAGTTAATAAGACTGCTATTCAAAAAGAATAGAAAATAGGGGCTCCTGGCTGGCTCAGTCGAAAGAGCATGTAACTACTGATCAAGGATCGTGACTTTGAGCACCATGTTGGGTGCAGATTACTAAAAATAAGTAAATAAATAAATAAATAAATAAATAAACTTGAGAGAGAGAGAGAGAGAGAGAAGTAAAAATAAAAATAAATAAAACTAAAAATAAAGAATTACCTACCTGAATGGCAAAGTAGAAGAGGATCCAGCAAAGGAAAATAAAAAGAATTTTTTAAAAAATTAGAGAAAAATAGTGATTATTTTAAGAAGAGAACACAAAAGTCAAGGATGAGAGAGAAATATTAGAAGCAAAGGGAGGGTTTCCCTGCACCAAATGCCCATAAAATTAAAAACTAATACATACTGTAATACCAGGTAACTAATGCCCTGCATACAGCAAGGTTAGTAGAATAAAAGGAGAGAATGGGTGATTTCAGTGCTTTCAGAAGCTGAGTAGCACACCCAGAAATGGAGAAAGTCCGTGGTTCCTGCAATCATGGTTATGAATGGAAGGTGAAAGCTGCCACAGGTAGAGTCACCGGTAGAGCTTTTTGAACAATAGGTTTATTCAAATATTAGTTCTCTTCAAAGAGCCACAGTAATTCTCTGCTCTAGTAAACCAGGTTAAGAATCTTTTTAAAGGGGCGCCTGGGTGGCTCAGTGGGTTAAAGCCTCTGCCTTCGGCTCAGGTCATGATCCCAGGGTCCTGGGATCGAGCCCCACATCGGGCTCTCTGCTCGGCGGGGAGCCTGCTTCCTCTTCTCTCTCTCTCTGCCTGCCTCTCTGCCTACTTGTGATCTCTATCTGTCAAATAAAATAAATAAAATCTTTAAAAAAAATTAAAAAAAAAAAGAATCTTTTTAAAAAATATTATTAAATAATGTTAAAGTAGAAAACTTTAAAGATAAAGAATGAGACTAATACTCAAGTTTAGTTTTGTTCCCCTCTGAAACCCCATTAAAAAAAAAAAAAAAAAAAAACAGTAAAAGCAGTTTTAAAAAAAATAAACACAAAGGATGCAGCACCGGAAAAAAAAAAACACAACAACAACAATAAAAATCTGGAAAAGTTGAAAGTCAGATGGTAATGAGAGTTAAAAAGAAAACTGAGTAATAGACAAGCTCTGAGAAAAGTTAAGAAGCAATCTGATTTCCCCAATTGCTTTGC